CTTGAAAATTTTCTTACTATGTCCTCGCCGGGTGTTTGCTGGGTCAACGGTAAAAAACCTGTTTGGCAAGCTTTGTTCAAACAGGGCGTAAGTAAGAATTAGGTCCCCTCGGAGGCGACGGTACTCCAGGGGAAAGAGATCAAGCATCGCGAGACGCGTTTCGTAGTCCACGGATTTGAGGCCGGCAACCATTCTTGTGGCGGCCCGCTGGGCACGCTCAATGAGGGTAACGTCTTTCGTACGTCCTGAGTAGACAACTTGGTTGGCGTACTCCAGGGGCGGTCTGACGTAGGCCCCATAGAGTATTTGGAAGTCCACGCGAGTAATACGGGAGAAGGTGCGTCGGATCATCCGTAAAGTAGCGAATGCCTTTTGGGCGATTTTTCATGGTGCATTGAGAAGGACAAGTTTGAGGAGGCCCAGATGCCCAAATCCTTTTTGGCATCTATCCTCATGATGTTTTCTGGTCCCTTTTCACCATGCATAACAAAGGCATTCGTTGAATCCCCTGCAAACGACATATGGACGCACTTTTCATCATTCAGAGGAAGGTGCCAGTCCAACGACTACCGCTTGGCAGCGTCTTCATCCATTTGGAGGGCACTGGCATTCGAACTCCAGGATTTCAGGTCGTCCGCAAAAAGTAGACATCGACTCGCAAGAGCGTCTGGGAGGTTATTGACGTAGATCAGAAACACGAGTGATCCCGAGACGGAGCCTTGAGGAACTCCAATGGAGACCGGAGCTAGATGTAACAAATGAGATGATTTTCGTTCAGCGAGCTCCATCACAGCACATTTTCCTATGGAGCTCAGCTTCATTTACGAACAACATTGTCGAACAACAGCATGGGCTATGCAGTGGCGATGCGACGGCCATCTCTGTAGGGTATCCCTCTTCCCAGATATACATAACTAGCCTGTGGATAACAGTGACACGAAATAGCCGCAGGCAAATTACCAAAATAGTGGTGTCATCCCTCGTAAGAATACGACGCTCTACAGGTGGTAATCGCCATAAAGCGGTCACCATGATAACGACAGCCACTGTCGCTCAACTCGACTGCCTGTCGTAACTGCTGGTTCCGTGTTTATGCGTGGCTCTAATAATGGGGCCTCACATATACACGACAGCCTAATCCAACAACCAACGACGGTCTCTCATACCCATAGCTAGACACAATGTTGCTTAAATTTTCTACCTATAGTAAACACAGGCTGTTATCAACGTGGTAAATGAAAGGCCTAATTATGCGTGAAAGCTTAATCTGACGGCCTGTCATACTCGACGTCGCCTTACCTGCCCACTCATTGTAACTTCCAGGTCTGTGTCCATGAGCAGCGTTGATTAACCGGTGACCAAATATGACCTGATCTGTCACACCCGTATCCGCACACTTTGTCAATTACATTTGCTACTTATGATTAACACCAGGCCAGTATTTGTGCCAACTGGCGAATTCAAGCCCCAAACTATGCACACAAACCTAGCCCAATGGCGAACTACGAACGTCATACTCATAACTGCGCGCAATATCGTTTACCGTGGCTACTTTTAGAGACCGATAGGCTAGTGCTTATGTGCGACGTTGATAATTAGGCCTCCGCTATGCTCTACATCCTAGTCAAAAGGCTAACGTTGAATCGTAGCAGTGCGTTCTCTCGCTAATGTCTGCCATCTGTAGTCAACACCAGGCCAGTGTCTATGTGAACTCGTTATTACAAGGCCTCAACTATGCACACAAACCTCATTTAACGGCCAACGACAGCCCGTCATACTCGTAACCGTATTCGCTAGTGCCTAGCTTGGTTGCTTGCCAGGCCTGTGTCTATGGGCAACGCTGATTATGAAACCTCAACCATGCCCGGCAGCCCAGTCCAATGGCCGATTGCGGCCCACCATACTAATAACCATACTCTTGTCACTTGCCGAGGCTACATATAGTAACTGCCGGGGCCGTGTATGTGCTCGTAGTTGATCTTAATGCTCCAACTACACATAATGGACTAATCTGGCTAATCCGTAGCCAAACATGTCATCCGTCTGCCAACCCAATGACTAAAAAATTCACAAGCGCCTTTGACAAATTATGTTTCTATTTATTGGTTCCATTAGTACAGACATGTAGTTAATTCAGTTCCCGGTATCGACTGCGCCCTATCGCCCACTTGTCCCATTACCTGTAACTACGAAGAATTTCACACTTTATCATGACCCTATGCTCATGCCAGACAGCACGTCACTCACCAGTCTGGAAAAAACGTTATTATGATAAACTGACGCTTTGTGGGGGCAAAGTGCACACCAATGGACATAATGACTTTGGTCAGTTCGTAATTTGTCGAAATTTGTTGATTTACTGGTAGCTCGGGTGAGTTTATTAGTTGTTGATCAGGTGGCTGTTGATCTGTTCGCCGAGCTTGGCAATTGGCTTGCAAAAGTTTCGTCACCATACGAGGAGACATCATCAGTGCGCAGTTGAGCGGGCACTTCTTCCTTGCCTGCGTGCGTTTAATTAGCATTCGAGGGCTATCTGTTACCTTCTGACGTGATTGGCTACTTAAAGTGTAACAAAGTTGGTGAATCTACTGGTCCGTTTGTGACCTACGTTGCGTTGCGGTCTGCGTTCTTTTGTGTTGATTGGTTATCCTCACGCCCTCTATTTTTGGTAGATTGTTCTCTCCGGCCTCGGTTTGTGTTGCGTTATGGTCTGACGTTCTTGAGTTTGATTAGTTACATGTGCCATCCTATTTCCTCCACCGTGGCGGTTAGTGTCCCTTCGTCCGTCGGTTGATTTGGTGCTCCACTTGGGCGTTTCCTCCAGTCTAACTGATGTGTCCGTTTGAATGATGCCTTCCTCCTTCTCTTATGATTTCCCCGTCGGGTTGATTTCGCGGCTCTAAGCTCGGTGGTTCTGGAGTTCTCTCACTCTTAGTGGCTGGTAAATGGGATAATTTTCTATGTTTGTTGGTGGGCTCTTCCGTGGAGTACCATGCTTCCATAAATTCGCGTTCATTTTTTGTTCTTGCTTGAGCCAATATGCAAACGTCGCTCCAGTCGAACTCGTGTCCTTCCTGATCTTTGTGTGCGGAGATGAGGAAGAACTGATCGTGTCTCCTAGTGGCGAGCCTGCGTTCATGTATTCTGGCGGAGAGCTTCCTTCTTGTTTTTCTTACATACCGTTTGTCGCAGTCCTTGCATTGGATCCTGTGTATGACATTGTTCTTCGCCATTGGGTCTAATTTCCCTTTTGGTCTTGATAGTTTCCTCCTTAGAGTTTTCGCAGGCTCGTAGGCGACCATTGTATTGTGCTGTCGTAGGAGCCTCGTCGTCATTTCAGTAGTGTTCTTTATGTACGGAAGTGTGACTCGCTTGCTTGCATTTGGTCCTGTTGCATCGATCGTATTTGGCTTCCTGAGTGTTCTCCAGATGAAAATCCTCGAGTATCCATTTTTCTGAAACAGTCTGTATAGGCGCGTCTCTGCTTCGATCTTGGATTCTGTTGTGCTGCAGTGTGTCTCGATCCGCTTGAAAAGTATCCGAACGCAGCTTCGTTTGTGGCAATTTGGATGGTTGCTGTGGTAGCTGAGGATTTGGTCAATATGTGTCGCCTTTCTGTAGACCTCAGTTTGTAGCTGTCCTTTCGCAATCTAGTGACAAGGACGTACAGGTCAGTTCATCCAGAAACACCTGTGGCTTTCCCTCCTCTTCGAAGGTGAGGACGATGCCTGCATACTTCAGATCGACAAGCTTTCTGGCAAGAGATATTTGAAAACCGGGTTCGGAAAACATCCCAGAGTTTGCCTCGTTATCTCACTGGTCACGAACGTAAGTAGGAATGGAGATAGCGATCTTGATGGATGCTGTTTTTGGTACGAAAGCTTTTAGAGATCCCCATATGTCATCGTAACGTGTCCGCTTCTTCTGCACCCTGCCGGATGCATGCTCTGGATCTTCACTTCAGTGCAGCACCTCCGTCTGATAGGTCACAGATAACACAAACTGGTGACAAATAGCCATCCCAACTACTGGTCACATGTGACGTCATTCAAGGGAGCGTGCCAGGCCCCACCCTCTTTCTACTGTCTATCAATGGCGTCTTCGATGCCGTATCCGATGGTACTTTTTTTGCGGACGATATAAACATTGGTCACACATTCCTTGCCCCTAATAAAACTCTTGCCTTTCGCCGAATTCAACAAGAATCAGACCGTCTGACTCGCTGGTTAATGTCTTATAATGACACTAACGTTTATTCTCAACTTGTGGTTGGCTTGCCGTTAGTCATGAGCCTAATGTTACAATAAGGAGTGTGCACGGGGTGTTGGGAAAAGGACCGCGTCATAGGGGGTAGACGTTATCTAGTTTAGGCGAGGTCATCGCTAAACCTGCACGAGCAGAGAAGCACAGTTATTATGCATTTTCGGAGAGTACGTCGGGATTAAAGGAGGTGGGCAATAAACAAAACGAGGGAGGGCAAAACAAGGG